TTTTAATTCTATAGCAATACAAATTATTACTTAAATTGATATAGATAAATTAATAATTTAAAAATCTAAAAATGTAGATCCATTAAGTGGATACCAGTAGTTTAAACATTTTAACCTTACATAACAACTCTGTTGGAACTGAAATATGATATGATAAATTATGCATGGAAACTGAATTATTTATTTATGATTTATCTTAAAATTTCACAAACATTGAGTAAGCAAATAATTAAACAATGACCAATATATTTAACACTAAAGTTTAACATTATCAGATTTTCCTGATAAATTATAAAATATATAAAACTTGAATCAAAATGTCATTACTCAATTAACTATATTAAATATTATTATAAAAATGTAATTGTTCAGTTTAATCTCTAGACTTTATTTTAATTAGAATACTACCATTTCTACCTATAAAGTATATAAATATATTGAACATACAGTAGAACCTCATTAATCTGGACCCCATTAGTCCGGACTTCGCTTAATCCGGACAATTGTCTAATATAACGAAATATACACAGTATATATTGTAGATTAAAATAAACATAATAGCTATCACATTTTAACAGAAAAAGAGATTTTTGAAAGCCTCACCGCTGCAGAAAACTCTGAAATGGATGAATATATGAACAAGATGAAGTTGACGATAGTATCAAGTCTAAGCTAAAACTTAATGAAATTAAAGATCATCTAAATATTGTCCTTAAATATGTTGAGATAACGACGATGAAAACATATCTGTATATAACGAACATTTGAGACATCTAMGTGAATTATTAATACGAGAAATAAATGCGAAAGGAAGACAACAAAAGATTTCCAGTTTTTTCAAAACAGTTAATGAAAGTGTGCCTAAATATATAATTATGATTACATGCATTACGTTGATATGTAAAGTTTTTGCCGGATCTAATATTATGTTGCATTGTTGCAATATATCATATTACATAGTAATTAGTTTAATATAAYATTCTTAAATCTATAATAGAGACATGTTTTTTGGTTATTTGGTCTAATCAGGAGTATTCAGGACTTTCATTAAATTGTACAACTCTAGAGCCCTTATTATTCCAGATTAATAAGGTTCTACTGTATTTCAAACACTGTATCTGGATGAGATGATTAATTTTTACCTATAAATATTTGGATTGTTGAATAAAATACTTTGAGATATCTATGACAAGAATTATTTATTTATTTTATCTGACATATCATGTAATTTAAAATTTATATTATTTATGATTTTCCTTAAATAATATTATTTTTATTTAATAAGTGTTTGTAATATTTGAGTAAGTATATAATATAAATAATTGAAATATATTTTACACAAACTAATCTATTATCAACCAGAGGAGAGAACTGTTGATAAGTTTTGAAGTCAGACAAATAACTTTTATTYRAACGGATTATAATAGAAGTTTATTAAATAAAAGTATAAATCAATCAAGAATAGTTTCAATAATTAAATATATTTGAACGTGTACTATTTTAGACATAAGTAGTAAAGCATGAATACCGTCAACTAGTAGCCTACCAACTTTAAAGCGATGAGTCTTTCGTTAGAGTTCCCCTTATATAGGTGTACTGATGATGGAAAAAAAGTATCTACACGTACATCCTTGCTAAGTGTAGCCTCGCTTTTATWTAATAAAAGAAATCGTRATTTTCCTTATACCGGTTACATTGTATAAATAATTAATACTGTATATCACGAACCCGACACACACCATACTGTTAATAATATGCATGCGTTTGGTCTTGTACATGATATATTTGCAACAAATCTGTGTCTCTAATATATTAAACATCCAGCCATTTTTTATTTATTGATCTTAATGTTGATGATTCTGTTCCAAAATGGTTGCGATATTTCTTATTTGTAAATATTGTTGAAGATAARTGGTGGACAGTTTTTGATTTGTCTTTTCCCAAACTGGTAGAAATTATGATTCCGGATACTAAAAGTATGTATGATGAAGTATGTATGTGTTTGCCAAATTGAATTTGAAATCTATATAATTTTTGGATACCGCATCAAATCCTATAAACATAGAAAAATATTAATAATAATAACCTATCATCAATACTAGTATTTATAATTAATAATTATATTTAAAGCTCAGACYTTGATAACTTTTTAATTTTTATTAGAAACAACGTCAATTTTTTCCTAGCTAAAAATGTATTTTATAAAGTTAAAATATTTCTAGAGTAAATTTGTATTGTTTAAATTCATAATATTTTTTAGGTCATCAGCTTCTGAGCTTTTTAATAATAATAAACATGAATAAATTATGTAAAGTAATTATGTAAATAGTTCATGGAACAACATAGTTTTTGAATTATTCAATAGTAGACAGTTTCCAATGCTCGCCAACTGATAATTTTCATTAAAAAATGTGTTATTTTTCTGGCAACTTAATTTAAGTTCATCTAAAATTGTTTGATCTGAAAAACATTAAAATTTTTATATGATAATAATTACAAAATGGAAAATTAACAAACTTAGGTTAGGTTAGGTAGGTATAAAGTAAATAGGTAATAACATTAAAAAATTGATTGTAAAATTTTGTATCTTTTAGTAAAACAGAAAATTAAAAATTAAAAACCRCGTGTTACTAAAAYAGGCATCAAGAAACCCTATTTGCTAATAAGTCCTAATTTTAAGCATAGCTGACATCAATTTTTTGGAAGTACCTTTGTATTGACTTAAGTGACATACAGAAGTGAACRTGAAAATCTTTTCTAAGTGTCACCAAATTTTTACTATATTACATAGCTTTGAATAACTTATATTAAAATTGTCATATAATTTGTATAACTCTGTTGGCAGACATATTTTAGAACAAAAGTAGTGATTTAATTATTTTAGTGAGTGTGTTTAATATTTAATACTTGAATTAATAATTATCTTTATACTTTTAACTTTAAACTATTGACCAGCTTTTTAAAATCATAGAAGCYGTTGACTACTTTAGTTTTAATAGTTGGATTCAGAAAAACCACAGTACCAGATATTTTCAATAATTGATTTCATAATTTATGTTGGAGAAGTTGATTTTAACAATAATTCTATATAAGTTTCCGTCTTTAATTTTGTAATAGTTAAATGTTAAATAGGAAAAGCCCATCAAACAGGAAAGTTATAAGCCAAGGCAGTAGATATTATACTTATCTATAARAATAAAATTGGATCATCTTTATATCTTCATACTATCTAAGATAAAATCAGACTATTAGGTTGTACTGTAAAAACAACAACCTAAAAATGTCTATAAGTTAAAAACTAAATTCAACCACTTAATTCTGACTTTGTCATAGTTTAAAAAAAAAAGTGGTATGAAATAGAAATATAAGTACCCAGTTTTTAAATTAATTACTTAAAGTATAGTCATAAATTATCATAAAAAAGAATTAAGCTCTASACTTGTATACATCTCAATTCATTATTTACAATTAATACACTAATAATATTCATGCAACATAGTGTAAATGAAAATAATAGATCAAATAGCGAAATAGCCCATGATAAGCATGATAATTATGAGAAAATAGTCACAAAATCACAAATTTCATGAGCAGAAAATAAAGTCAACAAAGCAAGAACTGAGAACACAAAAGTTGAGATTGGAGATACTTTACCTACTCAAGAATTATGAATAATAATTTGTAATTCATTTATTGATGATAGCATTACTATTATAGATAGGTAATTTGAGTATAAAATGTATAATAATAAGTTAATAAATAATTATAAAGGTTTATACCACGATTATATTAATATGTCATATAAAAATATATATTAAGATGATAGATCAACAGTTGTTACCTGTTGGTAGAACTAGTTGCTTATTAGTAGAGTTAAGATGTTTATGACCTAAAAAACACACTAAAGTGTCCTAAAAACTTCAAAAAAAATATTTTTCAGATTTTTCTATACAATTTATAAATATAATACTCGATAAGCGTGTATGATCAGCGTATGTTTGAAAGAGCACTTGTTTAATCAATATTATATTGACAATATATAACACCCAAAGTCTCAAACAATATATTCAAATCTAAAGTTAGATTTTAAAATTTTAGATAAATTAAATTTGTTTCCAAACTTGGGTTTAACACTTGCTCTAATTTAAAATTTGATAAAAATGCCCCACATTGTATAAAACCTACAAAAGTTACCTATCATATCAAAAAAATGACTTAAAAATGTTGAAAAATGATGTTAAAAATAAAAAATGCAAAATAAAATTAGAATATTCTGCATCAAGGGAGTATGAAACAAATTTTTAGCTAAGATAGCATTGTATAGAATCAAAGGAAAAAAAATTCAAAAGTCATCAACATCCTAAGTCTACTTATTAGTTACTACAATTATAGCAGTATCAGTTTACTTCTTGCCCTAAGTATAGGATAGGATTTGTCCGGTTTGAGCGTTGGACTGTTGCGACATTGATATTAAAACATTTTATGGATACGGTACTCCTACCAAAATCTAAACCTACACTTTTTGATCAACATTACAGCCAGATAAACTATGGTACTCACCCAAATAAAAGCTTTTTGGCGATAAAGAAACCTTAGATGATAAGATAAATGTATTAAATTAATGAATTAAATGTGTACAGAGTTAGGTACAACTACTACAACTGCAACTGTGTCATCTAGTCCATATAGATATATCTGTTATAAATTTTACTATGTTATTAACCTGTAATTTCAACCCTGAGAATTGAAATGACCGGGGCGCCGCGCTGTTTGGCGGTTACTGATTAGTGTTTAATATTTAATAATCACCGGTTGCTGACATTTTAATTTTTCAACGAMACATAAAAAAATACATAAATATAAATATGTTGACGGTTAAATTTTGCCATAATGTTATCAATAYTATTATAGCGTTAAGCGTACCMYCCCSTCCCSAACACCCATGCCGACGAACACCGACGCCAACTACACCGACGCCAACTACACCGATCGCTCGCCGACACCGTGTTCCCGAAAACCTACACCGACGCCAACAAAACCACCGAATGTTGCGGCCATAGTTCAAAGATAAGAACGTTATCAAAGGGCATACACACACAACCATTAATGCGGTAACAACTAAAATTATAAAATTATATTAATTCCGCTATGACGGTTGATAACGCGCGCTTTTGCCATTATTTGAGAATTAATGGCGGCAAGCGCCAAACCGTAGCTGCTGTGGCGAATGGCGATCGTCACTCTTTCACAGACGGCAACCACGACGACTCACTAATCGACGCCGTGGCGTTTGGCGCCAACGAATCGATCGACGGACGCGTCGCTACACGGTGCGATGTAACACGACGTGTGTGAAATATATTAATAGGCAACAGACGTTTATRTTATTATTTCGCCACCGACCTACCGAAAAAATCCGATCGATCTCCGGTCGAGTCTGCCGTCGCGCGCACGTACAAGTTAAAATCATTCGATCGGCGGCCGCACAATCCTCTCTTCGACTGTTTCCTACTCGGTGTTTTAGATTCGGCGCGGTCGCGTCATCGGAATTAGTCGCCGTCGTCGTCGTGACATGTTGAACGCGGTACAGACGCTCCGCCGCCGTTACTGTAGTGCCCAGCCGAATCTCCTTCGGAGCGCAACAGCCGACATTTTTTGCCGCCCCGYGTGAGACCGAAGCGAGTCGGTACTGATTGTATTTTGTTAGCGACACCTGTCAGCCGCGGTCGACCTGAGAACCCGAGACTCGTGCGTTGACATTTTTGTTCCGTAATTGATCAACACAATGGCGTTCAACAACTCTTCAACAGTGTTCGTCGAAAAAAATCCGACCAGCGTCATGAGCAGACACACATGCAAAATGAGAAATAAAAGAATGTGGAAGTCTTTACGCGCGGACATTTTGTCACGCCGGGAGAAGAGAAAGCGAGGTGCGTTTCAGGGCTTTAACATCCCTCGTTGTCGATTTTTCATTTCCATGTACACAATAATATAATAAACAATTATACTGCGGTGAATTAATTACATTGATAAACATGTATGGTATGATTCAAGTTACTGTTGTTGTTGTACAATCATTTATTTTAATATTCTTAAAGTTTTTGAAATATTTTCCATTTTCACATAATGACACTTATATCCGTACAAATATCACTATTCGTATCAGAAATTAAAATCCTTATATTATAATTACAGTTGGTTAAAAATACCCAGTAAAATTAATTTTAGTCTTTAAAGGTTTCAGATTTCTTATTTATTTAATTGTAATTGTTAATTGTTGGGCAGAAATGATATTTCAAAGCTTTAATACTTACAGCACTAGGTATATCCGTGATGTCAACATTAAAAACCTTTATAGTAGTTTAAAGATAATATATATATATAATATACATACAATAATATTATATAATATGTACCAAGCAAGGGAGATACAAGCTTACAATTCACATGTTTTGAAGAACAAGCGATTTTAAAATCCTTAGGAAAACGTTGGCAGAACATTTTTGGTAATTAAAAAGTTAGATTTTTGAGATTGTGACTTAGAAACCGAAGAGGCGACAAAATGTTGTAGCACTGTAGGGAAACTGGCAATAGAAAGAGCAGTGGTACAATTCAAAAACATTGATGTGGTCCTACAACGTAAAAAGCCTCGAATCCAAAATAAATTAAAATATTAGTTTCATTTTATTATTTATGAACAAATAGTTGATAGGCATTAGAAAAAAATAATAACAATAAAAAAGTTCTTCGTTAATATCTTCTAGTGATTGTCAAACTAAAAAAAAACTATTTTTAAGTATAACATTAATATAGGTCGAATAATAAATAAGAATTATATGAATTATATAATATACATGTTGTTTTTATTCATCAACAGATGAAGCCGATGCTGAACTTTTAAGAAAAAAGAAATGTGCAGAAGATCTTAAAATACAAGAAAATAAATTATCATTAGCACAAATAAATGGTCGTTTATCAGAACTACGAGATAAGCGTGATGAACTTGAAGAAGAAAAACGTGAATTGCTGAAACAAACTATTATGAACTCAGTTATAGCAGTGCCTGAGCCTAAGTGGTATATTTATACTATAAAATGTATATTTTTGTAAATTGATTATTAGGTATTATTAATCTGTTATTATGTAGGTCATATATTTATTTTTTTTGTTTTTCAGTGCAAACTATGATCGTAAATTAGTGACAAAAATCAAATTTAAGAGTAGTATAGTCTCAGATGCGTTTCTCCATCATCATCAACAACAACAACAAGAACAACAAGAATATTCATTAGATGTGTTAAAAACAGAGCCTTCTATGGAATCTCCAACTCCTATATTATTTGAAAAATCAAGTCCAACTTCAGATTCTGTGGTAATACCTACAGATGTAAAAGAAAGCAGCAAACCAAATCATTGGATTATAGATCAACCAAATTAAATTTTATTTTATTATTAATTACTGAAAAATAAGAATTTAACAAAATGTTTGTCACTATATTATAGTAGTCCATATTAAATTGTTTTAAACTTCTTATAATGAGTTTTATTTTTAAATTTTGCATAACAATTAATAAAATGATTCCTTTTTATTTATTTAATATTTGTATGGTATTAAATGTTGCTGTTAGCACTTATATTATTTTTCAGTTAACAGATGGTCAATTTTAATTTATTCTACTTCCTCTTTTTATATTTATAATAGATATTCCGTAATTGATTTCATAGTACTTTTATTTTAAAATCCAGTAATATGCCTATTGGTTAATTTCTATTACTATGAATTACARCCCTAGTKTTTTTTTTTAACTATTAGCTTAATAAGAACTTAAAATTTGTTCGAGAATATTGCATTTTTATTATTTTTAAGTTAAAATTATTATTTAAGGTCGTCTGAATTTGGATATTTTTTTTTGAAGTTGATTAAATGTCAAATATTAAATGATAAACAATATTTTTGTATACAAATTGTTATTAAATATAAGATTACTATAAGTTATTCATTAGAGTAGTCATTATTAGTGTTCTAGACTGATATTATAAAAACATTTATTTAACAAATATTAATTTTTAATAAAAATGTTCTTAAATGAAAATAAACTGTTATGTTTGAAATTAATTTTTCGTTTTTAGACCACTGTAATGTGATGGAAAATTGGTAATTTTGATATAAAATCAATTTAATGATTTATTTGGTATTTTGTATATATTTTTGAACGCTACCTATAAAAAAATAAAAATATTCTTAACAGTGTTCTACTATTTATGTTTTTAACTTTATGATATTATAGATAACACTTTTTTCACTCAACTTAATTTCCTATTAAATTAGTTTTTAAAAGTTGTGAAAAAATATTTTTTTTTCTTAAAGCTAATTATAATATTTGAGTACTTATCCCATATAAGGAATTTCAATGAAATTCACAATATATCATTGATAAATATTAATAAAAACTTAATTGTAAAAATAATTATTAGATACTACATTGATATATTGTAACTTATAAATAATGGGTTCAACTTGTTTACTTAAAAAACTTAAAAACAAAAGAAATGTTTATTGATTTAGTTAGCAACTAATAAAGATAATAAAAGATTTATTGTATGAAATGCTTTAAAAATTCCTGTACAAATAATATTATAGTATGTAGAACTATATAGCTTTTGTGAAACCATTTTTTATCATGTGTATTATAAATGTTTTGTTTTGTTCTATATTATATATTTGGTGATCATAAGAAATCTAAATAATTAATGTTTGTTAATGTTTATGATATTATAAATATATATTTTAAGAAGGAAATTTAATGTCAACCAATATAAACAAATTATATTATTTTACAAATAAATTATGTTCTTTTACTAATATTCTTTTTTTTTTTTAAATAACAATAAAAAAAATTGCGATAAAGATACTCTTGGGTTTAATAGATTGCTAGTTTCTATAAATTATGAAGAAAAAAAATGTATAATTATATTAAAATTACTTGATAATATATGTTTGGAATATATTATTACTGTCCAAATAATGACTGATAATAATAAATTCTGTATTGAAATTTATAATTTTAATTAAACAACACATATTTGTGTACTTGAATGTTAGTTTCAATCTGAAACTTTAAGACTTGGATTTATTTGAATAAATCAATGGAATAAATAAATATCAATGAAACATATTCATATATTAAAAATTATAAAACTATATAAATATATTATTCCAAATTTTATTATTTTAAAATACTAATTTAAGTATTCTAAATATCTTTTGTACCGATTTTCATAAAATTATAGTTATATGTCTTTGAGAAAATTAAAAATTTTAGCTCATGTTAAAATATATTTTATTTGACTATATACCTGATTATTTATAATTTATAAAATTAAAATAAATCATAAAATATTAGTATATTGTAATTTTGGGAATGCTGAAGAAGAAAATTTTGAATAATTATTGAAAATTTATTATGTATGGAGTGTTTATATGATAATGTTGAAGATCTAAGATCAGTAAGAATTCTAAAATGTTACAAATGCTTTTTTAAATTTTTTTAAAACCTAATTGTTTATAATAACTTTTCTTTTTACTGTTTGTAAAAAATAAAATACTTAATGTTTACAAATTAATTTGTATTAATAAATGTCATTGTATGTATTTCTGTAAGCAACCTACAGCCAAGTCTTATTATTCCAATTCCGTTAGTTTAGCTTAAACATTAATGAAATAGCCAATTAAACTCAAAAAGCAATAGCATTTTCAGATAATTTTACATACTTATAGTTTTAAYTTATTTAAAAATTTAAATATCKTAAAAAGCTAATAAAAAAAACACAGATAATTTTCTTACATATAAGTTTTATAATTGGTAAATTCATCAATAAGTCATATTTAAGCTAACAACATAAAATTGAAAATTTTGGAGCTGGACGTACTTTTTGATGYATTATGTGATTGTAAGACGGAAACAACAAATGAGGGTATGACTTCCTCTTAAGACAGGGTAAACTAATAAATATATCTACTATACTTAGGCCACAACTTAAGAATTATAWAAATTATAATATTATTCCTTATTCTGTGCTCATAGGTGCAAATAGACAAGTCAACGCTTGTAAGCAGTGTGCTTTTAATCGTAGTCATTTCACCAAAAACATGTACCACGAGTCCGCGTTCTGACRAAAACTGGTTGACCTAGCGCATCACCATTCTTCAAGAAAAGTAAACCATTAAAATAAACATACTCAAACTGCCTTAATATTATAAAAGTATTAAATAGCTAAAATATGTACTTGCAATATATATATTCAAAATATAGCAGTACTTTTTGGAATACAGTGTTCTAAAAGTATTCCAAACAGTGGATTATGAAATTTATAATAATACTCAAGTCTAGTTAATATGTCATAGAATTGCTCAAATAACATTTTTTCTGAAATTTATGTTTTATCAGCACTGGTGATATCATAATTKTAGATTCTGAGCGGAGTGAGGAATGTATTAATTTTACCATGATGTGTGTGTTTTTTTTTGTGCCTGTCATCATGTTTTGGGGCAGTRAAAGTGCTTTGATTTTCGACTTTAGTACCTCGTTTGACCAAAAAGTGAATCTAGTTGGTATTTTGGGGAGTTAGAAGTAAAAAATTATCCAGGTAAACAAAACTAAAAATTAAGGGAAAAACAGGAAATTTTACCCACAGTCAGTTTTCGACAAAATCAATTTTGGTTTTTGATGTAACTTTAAAAACAAATGACCATAGGTACATAACAYTTTCAATGAATGTTTATATAAGTATATTCTATCAAAAAATTACAACTTAAGTTGAACTATTTATAGGCAAATRCAATTTTCAATCATCTTTAGTTTTTTTTGAAATTAATATCGATAAAAATTTATTTGTTGGGTAGAAAAGCTTGAAAATGTAATACTAGGCGCCTAACATATTTTTACAATAGCAGTTGAAAAATAAAATAAAATCATAGTCGCATTTTTTGTTTATAAGCGTTTAAAGTTCAAATTTTGACTAAATATGTAAAAATTACGGCAATGTTCAAATTATCTTAGATAGAAATTCATATAAATATTTCTTTTTAAATCTAAGATTTGAAAATCTTTAATAATCTATAAAATATCCTAGACAAATAAACCGTCTCCGCTCAGAATCGTTTTTCGTATACAATGATATAATATCATTGGATTCAAATTTAATTCCATGCATTACAGTAACACAATTGGTTACTACTGTACAGCAGAGCGAAATCCACGACCTACCAGCTTTTTATTCATTAGATATATTCTGCTTAAATTCACTAACTMAAAGTGGTAGGCATTTTTAGAACTTTCTTTATAACATTATGACTTATGAGATAATAGATATACTCAATAAACATTAGAGTAAAATGTTAGCAKAACAATTCAAAATTGTCAGTTTTTGTTTTACTTTAATTTTATGACAATTATCTATCCAAATCTTAGGACAAAAAAAAAATATGACAAATAAAAGCATTGCATTATATTATTTTTATTTTGTGTAAGAGGTCATAATATAATATTTTCACACAAAGCTTATTGATAAGGTAGTCAGGCCTGACACAATCTAAAAATTAGCCATTTAGTCTATATAGAAAATCATTCTGTTCTTATACTCATTAGAGCATCCAACCTAATTTAAATTTCTGCAATAATAAAATGCAATACAAAACATATAAATAAAGTCTCTTAGTAAATTATTGACATTTTAAATACCTTGACCATTGTGACAAAATAAAAATAAAACCATGAATTCAGATTGATAATTATACAAGTATAACTAAAATAGCTAAAATTAGAAATTTTTTTTGCTATTTTAATAACTGTTTAATATTACCGATTAATGAATTAAAAAATTCATGTTAATTGTTGATTATTATTGGGTATATTTATTATTTTATAATTTAATAAACCCTAATTATAGTTTTTAATTTGTTTATAATTACTTATTTGTATGGAAATAAATGTACCTTATGACATATACGCTTAAATAATATTGGTCACTGTAATTACTCAATTATAATTTTATATTTTATTTAAAATACAATAATATGTGATAAAAAAAAAATGTCTTAGTTTTAATGGTTTATTGGTATTTTAATTGATTATTGATAATGATACAATAATATAGAAAAACAAACAATAAAACAACTATTAAGCTAAAATGAAATATGGTATAATTGATTTTACAATATACTAGTAAAGCCATAGAATAGGARTTTTAGCTACTGAAAACTCCTATGGCTTATCTGTATATTATGAAATCAACTGTAGCACTGTAGTAATGCATTCTTAAAAAATTAACTATAATTGGATTCGTTTCTTGAACGAAAATAAAAAATAATTTAATTTTAATAAAAAAAATATTTAAAAACAAAATTTAGGTCAGAAATAGTTGATGTCATTATCTAAAATAATRATAAAAAGTATAAACCAATTATTAGCCAAGTGATAAGTGTATAAAACTAAGAAATGTTAAAAAAAAATTTCAATATTGTATATTAGTTATGAGTTAGTTATGGAAGCTATTCTCAATTGGTTGAAGCTGTTGTAGGAGGTGGTGTAGTAGATAAATTAGTTTTCAAATTCCCTTGTTGTTGAATAGGTTCTGGAGGTGGTGCCACTATGGGTATAGCAAGATTAACCCGTCTTGGAGGAGGTTGTTGTTGTGGCTGTTGCTGTGGTTGATAGTAAGTAGTCATGAAGGTTTCCTAGAAAAAAAATTCATAAATATGATAACAGTTTTAATATTTGTAATTATTAAATCATATTGTCAAAAATGTTCATACATTTAATAATATATTAGTATTGACGAAGAATATACTTTATAAATGTACATTATACACTAATATACTTTTATATGATACAATAATTGAAGTATAATATAGTACTAAGATTATGAAGAATGTATTAACATAATTTGTATACATATATCTATAACTTTTATATTAAAGACAAAATAAAATAAATAAGACACAACATTAAAAATAGGGCATAAAAAACATTTAAATTAAAGCCAATAATTATAATAATAAGCTTACTGGTTGCTGTAAGGATTGTGTTCCAGGTGGTGGTGATGTTACACCTGTAGCACCTGTTGGTACTGGTTGGTAAACAGCTGCCTGAGCAGCAAGCATCTGAAGAGCAGCTGCAGCAGCTGCTGCTGCTGCATTTTGATCATCAGCACTTCCAGCTGCTGGACCTGGTGGAACTCCAGWAGCATACTGGGGTGTAGCATACATTTGATGATGGTACATGGATGGATCAGCAGTAGCCATAACCATCATACCAGTGTTGTGATCAAGCACCATACCATGATGTATTTGTTGTAAGGGTTGGTGGTACTGTTGTATTTGCAAAGGTGGTGGTTGTTGATGAATTTGAATTGGTTGTTGTTGTTGTAATTGTTGAGGCGTAGGTTGCATTTGTTGTTCTTGCATAACTAACCCATTTTGTTGCTGTGGAGCTGGAGGCTGTTGCTGAGATGTCTTAGATATTCCRCCAAAATTTAGTACTGGGTCAGGAAGTTCCCTGCGACTTTGAACTGAATATCGTTTTGAACTTCGTACAACTGGTGTTGGTGGTGCAGGCGGCTCAATTTGTTGATTTTCTTTCTCATCTAGAATAGAAATATCTTGAGTTATTATTAACTTATAAAATATTAGCACCTATAATTCTATACTTTTTAGGTACTACAGTATAGCTATTACAGAGAATGTATAAATTTAAAATAAGTTTAGATTCGAGAGGTTAAACTCAGGCAAATAACTATAGGTGATAGGTCTATTGGTAATTAAAACTTTTTACTGATGCACTTTTTATGCTTTATATCTTGTATGTTACTTAAAATGGTTATAAAAGATTACATTTTGATATTTATAATATATAATTATTTAATTTTAAAATAATGTCAGCAAAGGGTTTCCTAAAGATGTATGGTTACTTGCAAATGATATTATAAAATACAAAAATATAATAATAGAGAAGCAAATGGTTAAAATATTTTAGAAGTATTAGTGAAGGGACTGATGAATTATTATACTTAATAACAAATCATAGTATCAACATAAATTATTGAATCGTATAATATATTATAATTGAAGAATATTTGAAAAAATTAAAAATGATAACTTGTTTTATGATAGAATACTAACATTGACGATTACTGTAATTTTGATAATGTCCACCACCATGTTGTGTACGTCCTGTGCCAGCAGTATTAGGTGTTGCAGAATGATGCTGCTGATCGTAGTTGTGTTGATTTGAACTGGATGAAGATAATGGTGCTGATCCCTTAGAAAAATATCTATCACGATTATATTGTTGTGAAGTATGATGTTGATGGAAGTTACGGCTACGAGGTATTGAAGGTGAAGAATTTTGATGTTGCTGGTTATGTCCTTGGCCACCTTGACCACTGTTGAAGTGTTGTGGTTTATAATTATGGCCACCACTGTTTTGATGTGGTTTTCGGTTGAAGAAGTTTGAGTTTGCTGTTGCAGAAGGAGAGTCTCGATTTACTTGAGCAACTTTTTCTTTGCTAATTGGAGACTCTGTTGAAGGACGATTGAAATAGTTTTTATTATTAGTCGATGGCGATGACGAAGAAGATCCACCATTTTGCTGCTCCTGGCGACTGTTTCGATTTGTAGGGGAAGTTGTATTATATTTTGAAGTTGATCGGGATGACGGAGTGTGATGCCGAGCCTGGCTAGTTTCCACAGCTGGAGCAACAGATTTTTTATCTTCATTCTGAATAAGAGTTTTTGGTTGTTGTTCATGATTTTGTCCTGAGACTTCTACAACTGCAGAAGACCCAGTTGAAGCATTAGGCTTTGATTTTTTTGTATCATCCAAAGCGGGAAATTCAGTGGTGTACTCATCAGTTGTAGATTTGTTTATGTTTTTATTTGGACCACCCACATTGCGTCGAACCAAACCTCCACGCTTAACTTTCATGGACTGTTGGCCACCAGCACCAATGTAAGCTTTTGTATCTTGCCAACTACGAGTATATTTAGAAGTGGCAGCTCGCCTAAAATGAAAACAATTGTAAATGTTAGTATATTAAGACTATGTATAAATGGTTGCTATCATTAACTTACCCATATTTATGGTGGCGTCGAGCACGAGGTGCTTCTGATTCCTCACGTATATCATATCCATAAGAGGCCAGTAACTCATCACGGCTTTTGCGTGTTTGCTCGTTTTCATCATACAAATCATGTGTCCACTTATCAAGAGCATCTAAATCACGAGTTTTTCTAGAACCTACACTGGGTTTTTTAGCTGTTCCTTCAACAGCTACAGAAGTTTCTAATTCTTTTGTTGCAGCAGCAACTTTAGATATGGCCAAGACTTTCTTAGTAGACAGAGTTCCATCCCCAACTTCTAAAGCAGCGTTTTCAACAGTATCTACTGGGGTCACTGACTTTTGTTTTTTAATGCCTGTATGTCGTCTTCTAATACGGCGGCGACTAATAATTATTAAAAATAAAATTTAATATTTATTTAATACCATARGTAGGTACATACTTAAAACCATAATTTTTAATCAGAAATAAACTACTCACTCAGAAACTTCATCATCATCTGCTGAATCTTCTTCATATCCATTATCTGATTCTGATCCTTCAGAGCTTGTTGTACTATATGCCATGCGGTCATCATGTTCGTAGAATCGTCCACGTCTAGGTATGTATTGTGGATCATTAGTATCATCGTCCACGGGCACGGGTACTACAGGTTCTGCAGGTGCTGCAGGCTTAAATGGAATAACAACCAGATAAAGAATTATATTAAAACTATATTCAGTGCAAGAGTATGTGCCACTATGCGACAAAAATTGATTCTTCTATGTATCCCCATACATCATKCTATAAGTGAATTGGTTTTGATAGCACGGTGCAGTGAAACGCGAAGAATCTTGCATTATCTTGTTGTACAGAATAATATAGATAATATGGATAATAAATTAGTATGGTGTTCAAATAGATTTATTTTAAACAGAATAAAATAAAATTTTATGGTAGATAAGGCTAGTTATTTTATCATAATTTAGTGAAGGTTGAACTAAGGAGACAATAAAAATAAAATAGATATTTAAGAATATCCATGAGTAAATCTGAAGACAGTAGAATATTTTCATGGAATTTTGTTGGAAAAGAATGAATTAAATAATAAGGTAGGTAGGCTATTCAGCACAGAATTGTATAAGAAATTTACATTACATAAGTACACCTCAATATACACCAGAGCAGTTAATTATCAACTCAGAGTTAGCAGCACTATGGTCAAAATGACCTCAATTTGTATACACCTTTAATTTATATTTTACATTTCAAACATTGATACTCAGTATACCTTTAAATAATATTAAATAATAACCTAATCGTAATAATATAATAATATTCTTAGTACATTTAATTCTTTATATATAGAGTAAACTGAGATACAAGTAAGATATCATAGATACATTGTGGTCATTTCAACCAAAATGGGACTAATGATGTTATTATTTATATTATTACGATTATTATGGCTGGTTAGGTTATTATTACGACTAACATTCCCGGACTGACTATAGAGGTAAAAATAATGTTTGGGTTTTTATTTTTCTTATCTAAAATATCAATTTTACTTCATGATATGGCTTATATCATTTTTATCATTTCATTTATGAGTCCAATGTATATAATTTTCTGCTACATACCTATTACATTTTTTTTTTTAAATAAAATTACTAAACATGCATGCATAAAACAATGATTTTTGTAATTATATACTTGAAAATTATAACGAGGTCAGAAATACAGGATTTTAGACGTATTTTTTGCCAATGTAGCGAATGATCACATATTCTAATGTAACAATAAGAACTCTAAAAATAAATTTGTATTTGTTGTCAAGACTATTTATGTCGCATATCGGTCAGACTAAGACAGAAAATCGTGATGTCAAATCCCTTTAGCTATTAACAGCTATGGTGTACCTATAAAAGGGTGTAATTAATGTAAAATTCTTAAAAAATTCTGTACAGAGTACCTACCTATTGAATAAATAGTATAAATAAAGTTTACTGATTTCAAATTCACCAAATACTTAAAACTCAACTAGCTTTCTGTTTGGAAATTAATTTTAATTTATGTAGTTAAGTAGGGAGGTATTTTTCTAATTATTTTAAACATTGGTAGGTATCTAGAGTGTTAGTAAACCTACATTAAGTTTTTGAATAACTATTTTTGAGCATTATTAATTAAAGTGCATAAATAAGATCTTTAAAATTGACACATATTTAGGGCCAGTTGTACTGTGCTAAAAGTACAATAAATAATACATAGATTATTAACTTTAATTATTACTCACATCTTTGGTTTCTTCTCCAGATTCCTCTTCACCATCACCTCTCTCTACTTCTTGTTGCGAACTGTTCTCATCATCACGAACATTTTCCTCTTGAATTACATCTTGAGGTTGTTTTTTTACAATATTGTCTTYTTCATCATTTATAATATACTCAACAGCATCTTCAAATACACTACCAATTGTTGAGTTATTTAATTCATCAGACTCAGATTTTGTTTTAATAGAGATATCTAGATTTGTATCAGATTTTTCATTGTTTATTATATCCTTTTCAACTGTATCTGTTGCCAGTTTCTGTTGTTCATCCAAAACTTTTTCTTCTAGATTGTGTTTAATCTCATCTACTTTATCAGTTGATATCGTTGTAGATGCCATGGCTAAATTTAATTGATCTTCTTCGATTTTGGGATTGTTACTAGTGACATCAACAGCAATTGCAGTTTCATTTGACACCACGACTAGTTCACTGTCCACCAATTGTTCAACGTCATCTATATTCATAATCATTTCCTTCTCTAACTTAATGGGTGGAACAATTTCATCAGTCACTGATATCGCATTTGACTCACTGGTAGCGGTACTGGTGGCAGCAGCGTTGGCGACAACTGAGGCAGTGTCTTCTTCTTTCACATTGACGGCAGTACTCTCCATTATAAAAATCTAACGTTCAACTGTTYGTAAAAATGTCCACAAAATTATTATTTGAATGACTTACTGTAAAATGGTTGTACGTTGTACGAAATACAAAGTAAAATTACTCACCGTTTATGACGATAAGAATAGTAGCAGCAACAGTAAGAAACCTAGGGTTGTGAAAAAGAAAAAAAAGAGAAAACAAAACAAAACGCAAAACACGACGCGAAAAATTTTACCGAATCGTTGAACAGGTTCTTCGAAATGATTTTTTTCGACCGACGTCGAAAAACAAAGACGAAGACGGAAAAATCGAGTCGGCTGACGGCGGCGGCAAATGGAAGGTGCAAGTGATGCCGTTGTGCGTGACCGAGTGCGGAGAGGAAAACACGCAAAAAATGCAGGTTWAAAGATCGGGCGTTGTCGACATAAACGGATTTCCGTTTTTTAGACGATTACAAGCGCTGACTGACGAATGTCATAACAAATTGCAACATTTAATAATTTAACGTTTAAGACTCAACAACGAGCGGAAGGGTGCCGGGGCAAGCACCAATGCATCACCACGCGAAACGCGATAACGAATAACGATGGTATTATCTTGGACCTCGGCCGAACGAGGAATTACGGCGGCGGCCGATTACGCGTAGTGTGGTCTGCATGGCTGCATACCGTTCGTACGTCGTTGAACAAATTGTATTGAACATTGAACTGCTTACCGGTTACCGCTGATAACGGCGGTGACGATATATTGTGGTTATGTGGTGAATTGCTATAATGTGGTGGCTACCATGGTTTTGGAGGTAAGCCGCGACACGTGGCAGGAGGTAGAATGTAGAGCTCGTATTTCATAAAAAATGTTCGTAATATAATAATTCTATGTTGAAGCAGCCAGAGTCGCCCGTCCTTTGTTGTGTTGCCTCTAACTGTAGTGCCACCGTTGTCAATATAATAATCGTTGGCTATATGGTAAAATGATCGTCGAAACTAAAGAAACTCACTAGTTTAGAGGTCGTGTTTGTGTAATTACCTAGTACTTTTGATAATAGGACGTCATACTAACTTCCAGCGTATGTCCTTGTCACTGTATTTTTAACACGATAACATTCTAAAACTTCGTTCATTACTTCAAATTTTGTGATGTTAGTTTTAGTTCCAATCAGTGGCGTAATTTGGCCATATTTATACATAGTGATAATTATAATTTGAATAAAAAACCAAGTTCTCTATTACTATTATATTGTTTTAAAGTATGGTTAGATAATCATGTCGATGCTCAATATTTCTAAATCTAAGTATTTGATTTTTAAAATCAAATAGCACTCTTTAAATCAGAACTTTAAGCTC